TAGCACAGCTGCTTGGCTGCTAGTGTTCCCCCTCCCTCTCCCTCTCCCAACCTGCATATGTAGGGAATTAAAGGAGGCTGATACCAAGTAAAGTACATATACCTACCACAGCTAATGTGCTTAGTTATTGGACACTGCAATTGCACCCTCCTTTGCACTTTTTGCAGCATGTCTGTTTAGCCTTTGAGTGATTTACAGATCCATAGCTGTGGTCCTTTAACATATGACCAATGCATATCCTGGTAAGCACCAAAAGCCCCTCAGGTAATCTGAAGCCATGCTCCTAGGTTCCCAGACCACAGCCTCAGTCCGCTATAGGTTTGACCCTAAGGCTGCAGTGTGAGTACGGACTCACACTTTATGGGCAGTATAGCTTTAAGGCAGTTAAATTGAGGTCCATAAAGTTTCATGTGCAGCCTAGGGGTCAGAAATAGTACCTATGCAGCCCCTTCCAGGGTACTGTACTGTACTGGGCATGTGGCCACCATTTTCTCAGTGAGGCACAAATATTCTGCTGCTACTGCTGCCTACAGGGAGCACCACCGCAGCACAAACCTGCATCTGCAATCACCAGTCTGGGTCACCTTTTTGCTGTCTAAAGTGTCTGGACACTGCACCCTCTCACCACTTCCCTGAGTTACTGTGGTGAAACGTACTTAGCAGATAATAGGCATGGGGTTACTGAAACAGCTTGATCTTGTGAGGGTTTTAATTCCTTTTGGGACATTGTTCCTAGCAGTCCCATGCTGTACTACACTTTTTCCTTCACTGCTACCTTCAGGGTCCTTTGCCAAACTCTGGGTAAATGGAATTCTTGCAAATTCGTTCATCATGCCAGTATTCCAAATGAGGTTACCAACTGCTTAACAATACTGCTAGTTGTTATATCTTTATATTCATATATTGTATATTCTTGTGAGTTCACCAGCTACAAAACCTCTACTGCTATGATTAATATCTGTTATACACATATACAGTTTTGTTTGACTATAAGCTCTTCATATGTGCTTCAGGTCTAAGTTCACCATAGCTACACAATTGTTCTTTTTTGTTGAAATCATAGTTACTGTGCCTCGCACGTATTGCCTGCTATCAGACATTCTGATAATGAGAATGCTTTAGTTTTTTATGCTTTAGAATAATATACTACCTACAGCTGTTGCTTAATATATATTTTCCTCCATAACTTAAAGTAAACCTGTTGAGAGAAAAAAAGGGATGTCATTGCTGACTAAACATGCTGCCATCTGGCTGTCATGCTGATTTAAATACCTAAACTCATTGACCTGAAACAAACATGCAGTTTTGACTATTTCCTGAATTTCCATATCTTCATACTTGTTACTGGTCAGTGAAACAAAAAAATTCAAACTAGCCTGTGAAGGATCTCAACAGTCAAAGTATTGGTATAGCTAGGCGTAGTAAGTAACATTCACCTAGACTTGTACTGTAATGGTAAATACATTTAGCAGTTTATCCAGCTGTTCAGCTGTCAAGAGTCTTATCTCATTTCAGATGATTTGTTATAATCTCTATAGCCTTTGCAGTTGGTATATACTGTAAGTAAAAAGGGCTGTGACATCATTGGACACCATTGTCTCCTCTGACTCTAACTTCATTCCATGTACCGTGTTGACATATTCTTTAGAGATCTGAATACGGTGTACCATTTTGCCAGCTAAGGGTAATAGGATGGTAGCCCGGTACTTAGCAATGTTATATGTGACAGAGTTGATGCTGCTAACAATCAGTCTTAGAGGGGCACCTTCCTTTTATATCTTGTAAAGTCTTACATACATGGTGCAGCTTCCCCGGGATAGAGATGGTGGTACAAGGTCTGATCAATCCAAGTCTATAATCTTTTTCTTTTAATAGCTAGTGGGGTCTCTTTTTAGAGACTCATAAGTATTGGCCAGTGACGTGCAGTGGAGTCCATTCTCGGTGAGGCATTTCCTCCACCCCACCCATGCCCCACCCCAGTCTGCCTCTGCCCGCCCCCAACCCAGTCCACGAGCTGTGTGGAGGAGGGAGGGAGGACGGAGAAGGAAGGAGATGGGGAGGAGCCTCCCTGTCCCTCACTTTTTTCTTTTTTTTGATTGGAGAGTTTGGACCAATGGCGGCATGCCATTGGTCCAAGCCATCCACAAGCAATGTTATATGTGACAGAGTTGATGCTGCTAACAATCAGTCTTAGAGGGGCACCTTCCTTTTATATCTTGTAAAGTCTTACATACATGGTGCAGCTTCCCCGGGATAGAGATGGTGGTACAAGGTCTGATCAATCCAAGTCTATAATCTTTTTCTTTTAATAGCTAGTGGGGTCTCTTTTTAGAGACTCATAAGTATTGGCCAGTGACGTGCAGTGGAGTCCATTCTCGGTGAGGCATTTCCTCCACCCCACCCATGCCCCACCCCAGTCTGCCTCTGCCCGCCCCCAACCCAGTCCACGAGCTGTGTGGAGGAGGGAGGGAGGACGGAGAAGGAAGGAGATGGGGAGGAGCCTCCCTGTCCCTCACTTTTTTCTTTTTTTTGATTGGAGAGTTTGGACCAATGGCGGCATGCCATTGGTCCAAGCCATCCACAGAGCTCAAGTCTCTGACAGCAAGTAGAGGCTGTTGCAGCTCTTAACTCACTAAGTTAGGTCACACAAGCAGTGGGGAAGCCCGCTGTTGTGTAACCTAACTTAGTTGTCAAAAGCCAGATACAGCGCCGCCTGTAATTAACAAGCAGCGCTTCGTCCATGATAGGTTACACAGTGGGGAGGCTTTCACTGCTGTGTAACCTGCTAGAAGCCGATCTGAATGGAGAAAAAGCTGCCAGCTTCAGACTTGAAGCTGACGGCTTTTTCCTCCATAATACTAGGTGAGGTTCTGCCTCACCTGCCTCCCCTGACCGCATGTCCCTGGTATTAACATAACTAAAAAGAGTGGTCACCATAGCATGGTTATCTGATGTATTCATGACCACGGCATATCTCCTCCTGTCTTTTGGCAGGATAGTAATGCTTGGATCCCAACTAAGCGATATAGGACCTCTGCCCTCTAGTAAGTGTTGAAAGAGGGTACTTTGGCACTGGATTATACCTCTCAGACCCTGTGAGGGATTATTTTAGCTGATGGTATTAATAGGTGGTTGTTAAGGATGGAAGATTCTGTAGCTACCTGAATGGATATAAATGCTGGGGCATATTCCCGAGACCGAATTGAGCTGGAGAAGTGGCTTTGATAAACTGTTAATAATTTTCAATATTAATTTAATATTTTAAAAGGAAGGTTGTAATGGCATATTTATCTCATGACAGGTTTACTTTAAGTTGTTAGCAATATATACAACATTGTGCAACAAAGGTATTAAAACCAAATTAACAGTATACTGAATCAGAAAATTGAAAGAATATATTCAATAGGGTTCCTGCTCTTGACGAATGTCCATAAAAAACTATTACTTTTGCAGTTATATATTAAATGTGTCTCTTCTTTTCCATTGGAAATATGTAAACTTGTTAATATTAGACCATGCTGACTTTAATCTTTATAAAACAGTGTACAGCATTATCTATAGAACTGCTGTTTGTGTATATATAATTCCCTCAGAACTGTTTAATTACTACAATCAAACTTGTGAAGTTCCACAGAATAAGAATGAAAAAACAGATCCTAAAATGTAACCTTCAAAGGTGAAATAAGTATTATTCTAGCATTGTGTTTTGCCATGGTTACTTGTACTACCATCTTTAAAGTTTTTACCTTTACCAGCAATAGCAGCAGATAATGGTATCCATTAGGGATGCACCAATACCGCTTTTTCGGTATCGAGTACGAGTACCAATACCATTGCCGCTGGCATGGAGCTGGCTTTCTGGGCAATCACAAAGCCGGGCGGTGGGTAATGACATGCCGTCCGGCTTTCATGTTGTTTGTCTGGCTCGATTGTGATTGCCCGGGAAACCGGCTTCGCAGCCAAACAGCACCAGGCCGGTTTCTGGCCAATAAAGAAGCCAGGCGGCGAGTAATGACCCGCCTCCTGGCTTCCTGATTGGCCGGGAAGCCAGCTCCATGCTGACTGACTGGAAAGCCGGCTTCCCAGCCAATCAGCAAGGAGCAGCCTGTGCAGCCGCCTCTATGCTGATTGGCCAGGAAGCCGGCTTCCCAGTCAATCACAGGTGGATTCTGGGCCATTACTCGCCACCCGGCTTCCTAAATGCCCAGGAAGCCGGCTCCATGTCCCCTATGGCACTGCCGGTCAGAGGAAATTCCTCTGACCGGAAGTTCTGGTATCAGGGAAGGTATCAGAGCATTTGGGCGAGTACTCATATTCGTCCAAATAGTCAGTATTGGCACCAATACAGATACTACTATTGGTATCGGGGCATCCCTAGTATCCATCAAAATATTAAAACCCAAACCTACCCCACCACCATGTGCTGGGAACATTTTGGGGCCTTTGTCTATGTTCTTTTTCTATGTTCTTAGCTTAGAGATGTTGTATTAGTTTCAAACACCCAATCTTTTTAAAGTAAAGGAAATGCCAATTATTTTTAAAATTGCTCTGCACATGATTAAGAGTTCAAAATGTACCACTTGGCTAATTCCAAAAATGTACTTCTTTAATAAATTACAGTGTCCACACTATTTAAATATGGTTCCTCATAAAAAATATGATAAATTATGTTTATTGTCTGGCAATTTTTTAATTGCATATATCACTGATTTAACTAACTTTCAGGTTCTGTTGCTTCTAGACAGCTATAAATTTGTCAGAATTAAGCAATATGTCTATATATGGTACAGCTGCCTTATGTAAGCACATTTTCACACCAAGAACGTCTGAGATTCTCTAAATTGTGGAGAAAATTCATTAAACCAGATAGATGTGCTTATGACAGCCAAGTATACACTGTGTTTTCTCTTCTTTCACAGGACTGTTACTGCCATCTATTGTTCACAGGCAGCATTCAGTGCTTGTAGAATCTAATACACAATTATCTATCTCTTTTTCAGATCAGTATCTTCATGACCCACCTGTCTAATTATGGGAATGACCGCCTTGGACTATACACATTTGTTAATCTTGCTAACTTTGTACAAACATGGACCAATTTGAAACTGCAAACTTTACCACCAATACAGCTAGCTCATAAATATTTTGAACTCTTCCCTGAGCAAAAGGATCCTATCTGGCAGGTATATTTGAAAATAATAATACAATTATAATGAAATACTGTATTATTTTTAACCTAAGCATAAAATATTCTGTCACTGTAGAGAAGCATGCATGAGTGAACTGCACTTTGTGCTCTACAGATATGTATTTCATGCACATCCACCTTCCTTCTCCAGCAGTCAGAGTACATATATTACCATTAGCTAGACGGATTCTTATCTGGTGCTGCAAAATCCTTTATTACTCTGCAAATCTTGGCAGACTCCTACAATAAAGATAAGAGGTTGTGATTGATTAAAGGGACTATAATACAAATCTATTGATGTTATTACACTGTGCATTACAGCAATTACCAAACAACTGTAATCGGAAAAAAAGAAATACAATGTTATATGTATTATTAATGCAGCAATTTCAAGAATCGTTTTCAAAGCCAGCTGTATCTGTACATTACAACTATGAAAGCAGGTTTAAACCTCCAATCTGCTTAAAATCATACGATCCATGAATCATGACTGTTAGGCTTCCTAACATATGTGATTCTCTGCATATTACACAAATCTACAGGATAATATTCAGGAAAAATTTAATGAAATGTCAGATCATCTGATTCCATTATTCATTTATACACTCAAAGTTATGCATGAATCATTAGTCTCATCATACAAAATTATATTTCTAATGATACTCTAGTTGACCAAGACCGTAAAATGTAGGTAACTGAAGACACACTGTAACTGAAAAGCATCCTTAATAACATTAAATCTATAGTGCAAATGTTAAAAAATGTACAATAAATAATGTATGGGTTTTGATTAATGCAAAGATATGCCTAAATTCTGTTTCTTCTGACATATATGTGTTTTCATATATATTTTGCATTGCTTCCACCTGCAACTGAGATATAATGCAATGCAGAATGCTTGTACTCTTCCATGAATATACTGTGTATAGTTCATGTCAAGATGGCTAATTATGCTATGACAATGCCTAGTACAATAGCAGAGTTGTTGATACATTTCAAGTATTGCTGCCAGAGGCGGCCATACGCAAAATATCTGTGAGGTAATTTCTCTACACCAATAAGTTTTTGTCACTGACTGGAAATTCTCTGATTATCTGAATAATCCAGTGAGGAGATGCCCTAATGAAAAATACATTTTTTTTTCTAGAGAGCATGTTTTATATAGCGAAGGCAGCAAAGTGTGTGATGGTAACAGACATATTAAAAACCTATTATAATTAACAATAAAGATGATCAGAAGATTAAGATAAAATTATTTTCACAGTCAAATTATTGCTTTCAACGTTCCCTCTCTTCTAAACTTGTCTTCTATTTTTGTCAGGTGGCCTTTTTAGGCAAATTTTGGTTAAAATAAGAATGTCTTTTGATTAATTTTGATGTTACATTTATTGTTTTTTGATTATTTCATTTTTTTACAGTAAGAACAAAATTGCAACAAAAAATGTTACGAGACATTACATAAGAAGGTTTTTTTCAATATTTCTGTGTATTTCCTTATTTGATGTTTTTTCACATAATACAAAAAAGAAAACACACAAATATTTTCTTGGTGCTCTTTAAGGCATATTGCATACTTAATGCCACCTTTATTTTGCCTTCCCCATTTCCTCCAATAGTGACATTTTATAAACATTTGGGTGCAACAAAAAAATTAAAATGTTGCTCATTCCTAATAAACAAGCACTGTTATAATGATGTAATAATATGATATTAAAAAAGAAATACTGTTTCAAATCATTCAAAATACACTATACTAAGCTTTCATAAAAATATTTAAGAAATGCTACATGATTAATCAACATGCAACATTATAAGGGTTATTCACTAAGCTACCAAAGGCCGCCGAAGGCATAAACAAGCCAAAGTGAAGGCAGCTGAAGCCTCCTCAGCTATTCACAGAAGCCCTGTATGGCTATTTTTAGCTGTACATCGTCTGCATTCGGTGTGCTTCACTTCCCTTCTGTTCAGGCGAACATGCTGTAGAACCCGTTCACCTCAGCCAATGCAACATCTGGATTGGCTTAGGCGAATCATTCAGCAGTTAATTCCCTGTTTTTTACCCCTATTCTCAAAGAAGCCAAACAGCAGAGAGTGAATTGCCGAATGCAGCCGAGCAGCATTCCGCTTGGTCACTCTGCTATCTCAAAGGTAGTGAATAGAATGAGAAATGTCAGCGTAAAAAAAACCAGCATGGAATGTTAGGGAGGACCCTGATGTAGAAAACAATGCATGGGGTTCCCCTAAAAGTCATGCCAGGCCCTTTAGGTCTGGTAGGAATTTTAAGGGGGACCCAAACACCCCAAAAAATAAAAAAAATGTGGGGTCCCCCTAAATTTTCAAAGCAAACCTTTATCCGAGCACTGGCCTGACAGGGCAGGAAAAGAGGGGGATGAGCAAGCGCACCCCCGCCCCTGCACCATATTAGGCCACATGTTTTCTGCATTGGAAGGGTGCTTTTCCAGGGGAAGAAAAGCATCTTGTCCCCATGCCAACCCTGGCCCAGTGATTGTGGAGGTCTGCGGGCAGGGGGCTCATCTGCATTTGGGCAACCAGATGCTGCCCACCCTTGTGAATGAGTAGGGGTAGTTGTTACCCTACTCATTCACCAAAGAGAAAAGTAAAATTTAAATAAACACACAACACCTTTAAAAAAATATTTATTTGAACAAAAAACACAAACCATTTTTGACAAATTATTGTAAAAAAAAAGCCCCAAAAATAGTCCAACTCTGTAATCCATGGTCAGTCATGTTGTCCAATTATATAATTCAGCGTCAATCACAATGAATGACACCCCCTGACTCGCTGAAAACAAAAAAGTCCCGCCTCAAATGACAACTCCTGCCGGAATATAAATAAATGGGTGGAGCGAGTCATGATGTCACAACTCTCTCTGCCCATTTGTTTTCATGCAATGACAGCTCACTGACCTGAAATGCAATAAAACAAATGGGTCTGGTATGACTTTTGAGGGGAACCCCATGCATTTTTTACAACTGTACCCCCCTAACATTCCTTTTTTTAACAACTAGCTGGGATTCCATTCTACCCACTGCGGCTGTGCCGAGCTGAAGCACATGTGTTTGGCTCGGTTGTTTTCTTCGGCTACCTTCGGCAGCTTTATGAGCGTACAGCCGACCTTCAGTTTAGTTAATCCGAAGGGTTCCTGCAGTCGAATTTGTATAAGGAACATGACAGAAAGCCTGCAAACACTAAATATAATGGAACTTGGGGTCTTGTTTGAAAGAAAAAACTACTGAACACCTATCCTTCCTATAAAACTTGTCAATTGGATATCATTTAGAAAAATAGCAACAGCCTATAGCAAAAAAATGTATCATTTCCACACTAGAAGCAGGAATTTGCAATAAAGTTTGCTATGATTCTTGCAATTTCTGTAACATACCTGGAGCATATCTGGCTTGTGTTTTTCTTTATTATTATTATTATTATTTTTATACACGATTTATATAGTGCCAACAGTTTGCGCAGCGCTTTACAATATAAGGAAGACATTACAATCACAATACAATCCAAGACCAGATGGTAAGGAGGACCCTGCCCATGAGGGCTTACAATCTAAAAGGGAGCGGCAAGTGATATATGAGGAGGTGGCTGTGAGGGGATGATTGTTTGAGAACGCGATGGTTGAGCGGTTAGGTTGAGGTGGGATAGGCTTCCCTGAAGAGATGAGTCTTAAGGGATCGCCTAAAGGCAGTCAGTGTGGGAGATAGATGGACAGGTTGGGGTAGAAAGTTCCATAGGATGGGAGAGACTCTAGAGAAGTCCTGGAGGCAAGCATGGGAGGAGTTGACGAAGGAGCAGGAAAACAGGAGGTCTTGTAAAGAACGGAGGGGACGGTTAGGGAGATACTTTGAGACCAGGTTTTAGATATAGCCAGCGGCAGAGTTGTGGATGGCTTTGTAAGTGGTTGTTAATATTTTGAATGTGATCCTTTTAGCTATTTGAAGCCAGTGCAGGGATTGACAGAGGGGAGTTGCAGACACTGAGCGGTTGGTTAGGTGAAGGAATCTAGCAGCTGCATTCATGATAGACTGAAGGGGGATAGCCTGTGCAGAGGTAGGCTAATGAGGAGGGAGTTGCAATAGTCAAGTCGAGATATAACAAGTGAGTGGATGAGTAATTTTGCGGTTTCCTTGGTGTATTTTGGAGATGTACTTTAAAGCTAGCATTTCACTTAATATAAATATACAGATTTGTTTTCAATCATATCATATTGAAAAAGAGAAAAACTGGAAACGTGGAAAGTTCACTCTGACTACAAAACTGTACCTTTTGTTTCTACAGAATCCATGTGATGATAGGAGGCACAGAGACATCTGGTCTAGAGATAAAACCTGTGATCGCCTTCCAAAATTTCTCGTAGTAGGACCTCAAAAGACTGGTGGGTAACTTGCAAGTCAAAATAGTTTAAGTATGCTGACACCTATTTGTTTAATGGTCAGTCCACTCATTACTGATTTTTCAGTTTTTGATATTATTGTGGAACTTTCTTAATGAGAAAACTGTACTTGAGCTCCTGGGTCTACACACCTGCGATAGCCATTATGAGAGGGTCCCCACTCTCCTTGATGTTATATTTATTTATTTTACATAAAAGAGAAAGCAGCAGAAGATGAAATAATCCATAAAAATGGATGTGAACACCCAAGTTTCCCAGGTGGGCAGGAACAGACTTGAGAGTTTGTCAGGCAGATCCTTGATGCTGTTGGAATATGCAAGACATATTAGTACATCAGCTTTCAATTAGAACTAAAATAATATGTTGGGTGCCTGATGCTTTAACTAGTTTGCTACTGGAGGGATTTATTTTTATTTTTTGCACACATGTTAAATCTGCCTTTTTGGCAAAAAAAAATACTTAAATCACCAAAACATTATATAGCCCTGTAGAGTAAAAAGATGGTAGTTGCAAATGTTTTATGTCGCAACTGTTAATCAAATCTACATTTTAAGAAAAAAACGCACTTAAATGGATTTTAGTTCAAACCAGCACAATATAATCCACAATTTTTGTACAAAAATAAAAGATGAGGTGCTGTTGAGTATATACTAAATATGTTAAGCCTCATACTGTGTGTGCCAACAACAAACAATTATGGTACTCAGAATTACCAATAGCCAACACTTTAAATGCTTTCCATCTCATCAGTTTAGTACCTAGGGGAGAGACCTAGAAATCTCACTCCAGCATTTGCGTCAATACCCAATATGCATTGAACAATTGTTGTTTACATACACGTGTGCACCCTCCTTACATGTTTGTGTCCATATGTGTGTGTGTGGGAGGGCATAGGTGCTTTCAATTTTTTATTAATTTTATTTAGTTTTCTTATGGTTTCATCTTTCTAACACTTTACTTTTTTTAAAGTCAAAAGGATTTAAAGCTATTTCAAATGTTGATGAGATCACTTACAATAGATGCTGCTCCATGATGTTTAAAGGTTTTAGTTTCCTGCAGAATCAGCTGGTTCCCTGAGCAATGGTCCTGACTTCCTGTTTTAGAGTGACTCCTTTCTCAAGGAGAGTGCTATGCAGTTACCCTTGTGTGAGCTAGTAAGCTGTGTGTGTCTCCACAAACACACAGACACAGCAAAAGCTACTCCCTCCCCCCCTGGTCCCCTCTCCTCCCTTCTCCAAGCTAGTAGATGAACACTTCTGGAGTCTGCACTGTCATGTGTGATCTTGTACTGGACAAGCCTTCAGTGAAGCTGAGCTGAAAGACTTGTGGGCAGCTGTTCAGAAACATGATGATTGTGTTTGGCCAAAAATGTAAAGCGGTGCTTTGCTGTGCCATGTATATTTGTTTGATCTGGATTTATTATTTTAACCCCTTCGTGACTGACGACGTACAGTGTACGTCGCCAGCATCGGGGCTGTTTAAACAGACTCCCGGCGACTTTTGCCGATGAGAGTTTAATATTACTTAAACTTTATTGTTATCACAATGGTGTGTTTTTCATTGAAGAGTGGTAACTGCTTTCAGGTCAGTTCCCCTGCTAGATATTCACAAAAGAAACCCCAGCTTTTAACAGGGCAGCTATTACTACTGTGTCACCTGGCTCTGTCAGTAGCATACGTTTCTGTTGAAAATGTAAAGCAGATCTATGGACTCAGAACTTCTTCTGTGTTTACATGTGTCCAGACACATTTTTTCCCATATTTTATTTTAAAAATACACACACACCGAAAAAAATCTCAAAACAAACCACATCCTGAGCCCAACATTACATATATAAAACATGACACATTCTAATTTATCCCATCCCACTGGACGGCAAAAAGAAAAGCATCTCACATAAAATATTACTCTAGTATTACTCTAGTATTCCTGAGCTTGTATATTCTCACCAATTCAGTACAAAACTAGGTACCTGGAACCATGTCTTCTAAATCTTTTGGCATTTGATTGAAATCAGTAATAACACAGAATTGCTCCAGTTAATTAATAAACCTGAAAAAAAATGACCAAACATAGAAATGGTATTGAACATTTTCTAAAGAGCAGTTTATATCACCTAACAGTAAAAAGGGTCTATTCACAAAGGAGCCGAAGGATCTAGCCGTAGCTTCAGCCGATCCTTCGGCTAGCTTCGGCCCCAGGACCCCTTCGGTTCAGTAGAACTGAAGGGCTGCTGTACGGGCTATTCACAATAGCCCGTACAGCTCCCGAACTTAGCCGTGCGGCTCAGTCGAGCAGAAGGCATATGCCTCGGCTCGGCTGAGCCGCGCTGAAAGCCGAAGCTGGCCGAGCTGCCGGCCATTGGCCGGCCGACAGCCTGCTTCTGACAGCTGGGCGGAGGCAGCCGTGATCTCACGGCTGGCTCCGGTCACTTGCAGAGAGATCAGCGTCCCTGGTTACCAGCTAGCCAGGGACACTGATCTCCAGACAGCAAACTCTCCCGGGCGCTCCGGTAGTATCCCGCTCCCGGCCGCCCAAGAGAGAAACACTGATTTTTCTTTTTTTTTCTTTATTCTGACATGGAGCTGTGTAAGAATAGAAAAAAATATAAATACATTTTTGCCCATAGGAATGAAAAAAAAATTTGGCCATAGGAATGCATTGCTAGATTCCTATTGGCTATTTCGATTTGCAATAGCCAATCGTAAACTAGCATTGCACCCCACCCTGATGGACCTGATGGAGAACTTCAGCAGAGGGCGGGTGCAACGCTAGTTTACTATTGGATATTGCAAATTGAAATAGCCAATAGGAATCTAGCAATGCATTCCTATGGCCAAAATGTTTTTTTCTCTATTCTGACATGGCTCCGTGTCCAAATAAAGAAAAAAAAGAAAAAGCAGTGTTTCTCTCCTGGGCGGTCAGGAGCGGGTCCAGACACATTTTTTCCCATATTTTATTTTAAACACATGTAACAATTATTTTCTTCTCTAGGACCTTGTTTAAAGCCATTGATGTGGAAGGTATGTGTTATCATAACTTTCAAGGGTTTAACAGCTATTGCAAATAATAATAATATAAATAGGGGGCATCCTTTATGATTGCCATGTTGAAATCTAAATTGAGGAGACAAACATGTATTTAATTCTTATACCAGGATCCTGATAATACATTTTAACCTATTAAATGAATTTGGGGCTGAAATTAAATGTTTCCATTATCCAAACATGGATATATTTAAAACTATCAAAGGCTTTTTTTGCATATAGGGACACTATCACTCTAGTTCCTGTATTATCCGAGGTATTTGTATATTTAAACAATGCGTTAAATATTAAAAACCAAACAATTTGCCAACATTTTAGCTATTAATTTAACATCTACTGTAAGCAAGACTATCAGGCTGTACAAATCTGTATGTATCACATCCTTATTGGTTTTAATATAGCCACCAATATCCCCTCTTACATAGAACCTGGTAATAAACTGAGATCAAATATACAGTTGGAGAACATTTCCCTCAAGGGGCCTTTTTATTAAGAAACATCTCCAACGAGCTTTCCAGCTCTTCTGAAATAAAGGGATAATCTAACTTAAAGGAGAACTATGGGGATAAGGCTTTTGCCCATAGTTCTCCTTAGGGTAACGGGAGGACACAAACTAGCGTCCTCCCGTCACCCAAGGCTCAGTACACCGCAAGCTGTAGCTCGCGGTATACTGAGACGCTGCAGTATAGCGCGAGCTGCTGCTCGCGGTATAGGGAGACACCACAGCTGAAGTGGATACCGACAATTATGTCTGGATCCGCCCAGCTGCGTGACTGACAGCTGGCTCTGCCAGTCAGCACTGGCGGATCAGAGCAGGGAGGGGGAAATACAGCCCCTCCCCTGTCACGGCAGAGAGCTGTGACAGGATCGAGAGGTGAGCGAACGCCGGTATGTGTTCGCTCACCTCCCAATCTACTAAAAAGTAATCGTTCTAAAAAATAAATAAATAGTGCACTAGCATATCTTCCACAGTCCAAGCCACACCATATAAACTATAACGTGAAATAACTATGTTCCCCATTGACAAAAACAACTCTTCAAATGCAGTTCTAAAAAGACCAGGAGGAGAGGAAGCAAACCACCAACACTTGTATATCTTTTATTATGATTCATTAAAACACTTTAAAATAATTGAAAGAAAATTATGCAGATTTATGTAGTACAGGTCATATCACACCCTCCACCCCCCCAACCACCCCCACCGGCGGTTACAGCAAAAAATCGTACATATTACATATGTTTTATAAAATTTCTAGATGGTATAAAGCTGTTCTGGGTCTCAACACATTTCATGGAATACTTCAAGAGAAACATGGAAGATCATATGTGGAAGATATATTATTGAAATAAGTTGCTTAAAACACCATCTATTATGCCATCTCTGAGCGAGCTCTCCCATGTGTCCTGGACCAGGAAGCAAATCCACAAGGTTGGGGAGGTTCATGAGAAAACCCAGGTCATTTATGTGTATATAGCTGTGCCTTACACTCTTAAATGACATAATTTGCAATAATTCAAATAGATAGTCAGATAGTCGTCTATACTAAATTATAGCTGAGGCTGCCAATCCAACTGCAGACCACAAGATATTGTACTTCCTCAATTATTGCATTTATAATTGCGTTTTTTAAATATCTCTAGTCGAGGGGTGCTCTATGATCACTGGCTCCAAGATGAATATCTAGATCTACTGTATGTGTGACTGTACTCAGGAATCTGCATCAGTTGTTTTCTTATCATTTATTCTTAAGTATTTTAATTCATCATTATAAAAGTATATTTTAGAAAGAAACATTATCTGAAGTCCCATATAGGCTTATTTTCTAAGTGTTGTAACTTACAAGGGATGTAGGTACCCCCTCTCCACAATAGGGGTAGGTAACCTTCACAAACAACAAATCTTTTTTTTCCAGCCAATCACTATTTCTTATTATT